ACAAATATAATTTTTGTAAATCAAAAGGCAAATAAGAAAAAAAAAATATTTGTAAAATAATATACTAAATAAATACTATAAAAAAATATATAATTACAAATATAAGAATCAAAATATTGATTAATAATATTTTAATTAAATACAATCACAAATATCATCGATAAAAAGAAATAAGTGGAAAATATAGAAAAATACATAATTATACATAAGTGAAAAAATAAAATTTTTGAAAAGGGAAACAAAAATTAGAAAAGGAAAAATATATGGTGTACTTGAAGAAGGGGGATATATGTAACTCTTTTTTTTTTTTTTCAAAAGAAAATTAGAAAATTTTGAAAATTTTAGAAGGGGCACTATTTAAAATTACCATATAAGTATACGTATATAGCAAAAATATGTACCTATGGATAGTAGGTTGGAGCAAGGGTAAAGGGGGCACGTGCCCCCTCTGGGCCTTAATTGGCTCCGCCCCTGATTGTCATGAGAGTGTGTCATGTCATGAGCATTTGGGTGCAAATGACATAGGGGTGGGACCGTCCTTGTAATTTTTGGCAGGGGTTATTGTGTGTGTTGTGACATTGGGGATGTGAGATTTCTTCCAATTTTGGGGTTAATGTTGTAGCGTGTTGTATGGGATATTTGGAGATGTACTCCGTAAATATCCTGGGTTTGCCTTCGGTTTTGATGAGGTCAGATTTCAAGGATGAAATCCCTTTTAAGGTGGGCAGGTTGTAAGGACTTGTTCCTTTTTTGCATTTTTCTCAATTTTTGTTTTTTGACATTTTCGGTTCTTGGGTCAGGTGGGACCGGACCGGGTCTAGTGTTTGGAAATTTTTTCCCAACACTTTGTATTTATTATTTTTGGGATATATTGGACATATTTATTTCAGTTGGGACACATTGAAATATATATTTTATTTTAGGGCATTTGTGTTATTATTTCGAGGATATTTTCATTTTTTGGGCCTTTTTTGCGATTTTTTGAAAAAGGTGGGGCCACCCTTGACTTTTGTGTCACATGTTGTGTATATATACGTGTGTGTGGTGTGAGAGAGAGGGAGATATCAACCAGATCCCCCTCCTCCTTTTTCTTTCCTTTTTATTTTTTCTTTTTTCTTTTTATTTTATTTTTGTTCTTCGCTTCATAGCCCAGTTTCATCTCCTTCCGGTCAGATTTTGCCGAGAAATGGCAGGGACACTAAGGCCTTCAAAAAATTTCTCTCTGTTTTGAGTTTGGAGCATTTTCGGGATTTTGGGTTAAGCTCGAGTTTAGATTTTGAGGCGACCGTAGGAGATTTTATCGTTCCCCTCGCCATCCTTTTTGGCCCTCCGAAGTTGTAGCTCAAATAGAGCACTTTCGTTTTGGTGATTATTGGGTTATTTTAATCCAATTGATGTAGGGGGTGTGTTACGTATATAAGACTATATTTCTTTGACTTTTATAGGGTTGAATGAATTATACATGCATTTGTGTGTATATTTAGAATTTCATGTATGGATTAAAAATACATAAATAGGTTAATATAATGATTTGGGATATTGATTTCTTCGCCTAATGTATTTGATAGCATTGCTTATAATGGATAGTCAATGTATTAAATTGATTTATTGTGATTACATATGCATGCTTTTATGCGGATTTCTTACATTAAGTATAAATTCATAAGTGATGTTTGGTTGTGGCTAAGTAAATTGTATTGTTAGACTTGGTTTCCAAAACATGCCGTTATGATTACTTATATCACCTCATAAGTCTTGTATTTGACAAAATGCCTAAATGAAGAATTTGACACTATTATGATCGTATATTGCTTTGGATGTTTTCATTGCATTAATGAGCATGTCATGATAGTATTGGACTTTAGGGCATGATTCGTGTGGATAGCATGAGCTTATGTGTGCTTGTGAAGTGAAATTTGATTATATATTAGTATGTGCTTACCTTGTGGAATTGGATGATGATTTTGGGATATTCTCGAGGATTTTATTATATGGTTTGATCCGTGACAGTTAGGGCTTGGTGATAGTAGGTGAGCTTGGACTCTCCAACTTTATAGTGGCCATTTGGGTGGTTCCCCGCGGGTTAATAGCCTGAAAAGAACTACGGTTGGTTGCCAGCGGTTTTATTCTGGAAGAATCAGTTTAGCGGTTCATGCAATGTGTGTTACCTGGGGTGTGTGTAACGAGATATCCCTCTCCTTTGTTGATTTTAAATCTATTTTTAAGTTGGCATCCATGTGTAGTTGCAACATGGCTTATTGTTGTTAGTTCTAATTCTTATTTTCGTTTTAAGTTGACATCCATGTGTAGTTGTGACTTGAGTATTTGTTTTATTTCATTTGCCATGTATTTGCCTATTGAAAATGAAATGGACGTTGCATATGTATTGCGATTCATTTATGGATTATGATGATTCCTTTAGGATTTCCCACGGAATTAGACTTTAGGGAGCATATCCCTTTGCATTATTGACACGGGCTATTCTTGAGAGGCCAAAGGAATATAGTATGTGTATATACCTAGCATATTTCTTACTAAGCATTATAAGTCCACCTCTCATTGATTCTCTTTTCAGGTTGAAGCAAGGCTAATGACGAGGACGCATCTCATATTTGTTTTAGAAATGTAGCTTGATGTATATGTTTAATTATTGTCGTGTTGTATGATCATTATCTTGGATATTGTAAATTTAATTAATGGATATAATTAGTTGATGTAGTCACAATCACAACGCATATTTAAATTTGTTTAAATGATGTATTTAATGCCATAAAGCCATTTTAGTTTCAATGTACGGAATACGTTTATTGCACACTTTGTATGCATTCTTATACACATACTTGTACATAATGTTAAATGTCATGGTTTACAAGTGTTGGGGTGGACTTTCCACTTGGTTCATTGCATTTTTTGGTACCAAGTTGGCATTTATGTGCCTATGCATCATTTCCAGGTCTGTTTAGCATTTTCTAGGGTTTTTAGGTCTCTCCTTTTTCCGAGAATTTTATCACCATAACCTTCCTTATGCTCAAGCATTTTTCTTCAATACTCAAGCTTTGGTCCCAGTGCTCGAGTATTGACCACTACTTGTGCATTTGACCCATTTTCTTCAAATGGCCATATCTCTCGTTTTAAACCCGAATTGAGTCATTCTTGAGCCTATATTGTAGAATTTTGAACAAGTTATCCAATAGTACACATCCCTTCTTCTATATTTGTCATGAAATGACTATTTTACCCTTAATTTCTGCATTATGACTGTTTTGACCTTAACTTCCACATTTGTTGCCTGAGTTCTCGGATAGGGTTTGGATTTACTTGTTTAGTGCACCAGATCTTGGGATTTGGGGCGTTGGATCAAATTTTTTTTTTTTTTTTTAGTAGTTTTCTAATTTTTTGAAAATTGAAAATCAGAAACTTGTACAAAAATCTATTTAGCGACACTTTTTGAGAATTTTTTTTTTGAAAACTCAATTTAAAAAATATCTAATTTCAGATAATTGTCCTAATTTTATAGTTCGGAGTGACAAACAAAGCAAACTCGTGTAATCTTCATTGTTGGGTGTTGGTCTTTTTTTTTTTTTTTTTAATTTTTAATTTATTTTTATAAAGCACGTAAACAATGCGGCCAAACACTATTATTATTAGTTTGCTAATGCTTTGTAATTTTTTCTAATAAAAAATAAATGTAAAATTTCCACATAAAGTTATAATACAAGGAATGAGCTTTCAGGATATTGGCAACATTGAGTCCTGAGACAGCCTTTTTATCACATTAATGACTAAACTAAAAAAATAAAATAGGGTGAGATATTTCAATTATCCACACTATACTTTTCATAAGTGGATGAAGAAATTAGTATGATTTTTATTGGGTGATTTACCCTTACTGTCCTCAACAATGATTATATATTTTTTTAGTTCTAAACGTGATATCAAAGTGAAAAATAAGGACAATTCTAAAATCTAATTTTGTTAATGAAGTAGATTCCATGACTTTGTTGACTTTTAACGTAGAGGAGAAATATGCTACAAATACTAATAACAAGATAAGTAAGTGTAATTTTGAATCAAGGAAGTAGGATCGTATAAATTTGTTATGTCGAAGGGTAGGTTTGTAATTCACCCATTTTTATATTTTAAGCTTTTAATTTAAAATTGTATAAAACATGACTGGTTCTCATTTCTCAATCCACTACGATTAGTTATAAAAGCTACGTGGGAGCTTATTTGCCATAGAATGAGAGCCACTCTATCAATATTGTGGTTTAGACCACAAACAGGGGTTGGAATGGTGTGGCTCACAAAATCTACACTAAAAATTGATCACCGAAAGAAAAACTCAATTCCTTTCGCCAATGACCAAAATATCCGTGTAGGCAGTGTCACACACATTGAGAAGGGAAAAATACATTAATTCACTTGAATTACATCAACAAACAAATACGAGAGGATAATTCAGTGTACTATACTTTGTCATCTTTCATAACAGAAGGTGAACAGTATTTATTCTGGTTTTCATAACAGAAGGTGAAGAGTATTTATTCTAAACCAGAGTAAAAATATATCAAGTCCCAGGGATAAGGACCCCGGGAACGTGCCCCTCCTAGATTTTCTCCCTCTATTAAATTCTATATATATTTTATAAAAATAAATATATTTTTTAATTAAAATATAGAAAGTACCCTTCCTGAATTTTCTAATTCTTTATAAAATTCTATATATATTTCATATTATTTTCTCCTAAATTATTTCCTTAATACTTATATTTTATATCTGTAAATTAATTTAATTTAAAAAATATCACTTTCTCATTCTCTATATATATATATATACTTATATACAGATATATTATATTGTAAATATATATTATAGTATATAATACTTATAATGTGCGCCGAATAAAATTCTGACTCTTTCCCTATAAACAATTTTAACCTAGTAAAAAATGTTTGCAGTTAGTGAAATTTTCACTATAAACAATTTTAACCTAGTAAGAAATGTCTCTAGTTAGTGGAATTAGGGAAAAAGGATTTCAACCTATAATCATTTACCACTCGAACAACCACCACACCTTTACAAGTATTTGCTCAAATTCCTATTTTATTTAGAGTATTTATTTATTTTTTGAAATATTTGATTTTCGAGGGCATTGCAGTAATAATACATCTTCAAAGCTTAAACGAGTAAAAGAGCACCACATTTATTTGTTGCTCTATCGCTCGCTCATGGCTTCCAAACTCTCATTCACTCCCATTACTGAACTGCCAGTTTGCAGCGAAAAATTCCCAAAACCTCCTCAAAGAATCCCTCTTTCTCCTCTTCTGCAATCGAGTTCCTCTTCTGGGTATCGTTGCTTTACGATAATTTCAAGCTCTAGAGCGAGAGTATCATCATCATCACTCTGTCATGCTGTGAAAGAAGAATTGATTCAATCCCCAAATTCAGAGTCTACCAGGGATTCCCAAACCACATCTCCTGCTTCCACCAAACTTATTCTTGTTGTTGGCGGCTCTGGCGGCGTCGGTAAGCATTTCTGGACACCTACTGTTGGCAGTATGTGTATCAGTGTGTGTATTATATTGCAATCTGATATTGAAATTTTTTTTCATATTTTTTAATTTGTTTTGGTTTTGGGTGCTCTTGAGAGGTCTGTTGATTATATATATAGCACTCTAATCTGGATGTTTATTTCGATTTTGGATGTGATTTTGTTGATGTAATAATGCGATTATGCGGACTCTTTGATTGTGGAATTTTTGTGTCCTGTGCGCTGCACTTGTATTGTATGCATACTATAATTTTGGGTGTGCTTTTGTTGATTTTCATGATTGTGAAAATAGAGGTGACTGTCGATAAAACAAAAAATCTTTAATTATATAGTTTTTTTGTTTTTTGTTTAAATTTATTGTTTTAATTAATTTATTTATTTATTTATTTATGGATATGTCAAGTAACCAGTTTGATATATTTGAAAAAATTCTGTTGGTGAGAAACCCATTTTGAATTTGTTGAAAAAAATTATACCAGGAGATACGCTTATGCCTCTAATGGTAGAAATTGCCTGCAGTGAGGAAGGACACTGCAATGATAAAATAAACAAAAAGAAAATGAAAAAAAATTAATATCATAAAAATAAAGTGAAAAAGAATATGTGAAATGAGGCATGCACATGATAATATCCACATGTTAGGAATGTAATAGTGTGTTGGCAAACTTCAGTCCGAAACCACTATATTGAATTGCAATTTTATTTTTAAGTATGGAAGTTTTAAATGTCAAGTGTGGATTGATCTTCGAAGACATCATACCTAAAAATACGTTGATTCAACACACCCATTAGGTCAGGTAAGATGGGCGTGGTTAGGACACTTGATGTTTATGAATTTTGTTTCTAAAACATAGAAGATGGATGGAGTTCATTTAGAAGGTGCAAGATTGAACTGATTTATTTTTTAGTTACAACGGTTGAAATGGCTATTGGACTACTGTATTTGAATTCCAGTAGTAGGCAGTTCAACTGGTGGTGTTTCTCTTGCACATGTGGAACTAGTCTCTGTTGAAATTGTTTTTAATTCTAGTGAGCTGTTGCACTGATGGTGTTTTTATTTGCGTCAGTGGGATACTTCTCAATTTAAGGACTTAGAGATATGATCCTATTTTGAACCAACTTCTTCTTAACCTATTAGAGACTTCTTCCAATGATTTTAGAAGACTTTTTCAACTGAAAATCAAAGGCTTTATGCATATTAAAGCTCAGCTATGCCCTTTTTTAGTGGAGAATTATTACTGAAAATTTTAGAGCTTTTTGAGGAAAAAAATTAGCTGAGATTTTTCTGATATTTTTTTTCTTTTCTTTCAAATAAATCACAAACTTGTACACGAGGATTTTCAGTGTGACATTCATCCATGATCGTGTGAATTTGAGCTAAACTACCAATATTCAAAAACAATCAGTTCAACAGATTTTAGTTAATTTCATCTCATGCACTTGTCGAAGGAGAAAAGCGTCTTGATCACTCTAAAAAGTGGTTCATTGTGAGTTGTTTGCATCGACATGGATTAGTGTTGCTGGTGATTGCCAAGACACTGGAGTCGGAGGACTCTGCCATTGAAGGAAAATCAATGGTAGTTTATCTCAAAGACACTGGGATCGACGACTCGTGGAGAGCAATTCAGAAGGCATTAGAACTTGTTGTACTCTTTCTTGATATAGTAGATTAGTTTGCCTAAGATGACTAGTCTCTCTGGTTTTTCCTCGTTGAGGTTTCCCACATAAAAAACAATGTTGTTATCTCTCTCTCCTTGCTTTTTATTTTTCTTGCTATTGTGTGTTGGCTTATTATTTACATTATTTTTTCTTAGTTGGTATTCACACACACATATTTCTCCACTGATGCTTGAACTCCTAACCTCTCTTTGGGAAGTAAGGCCTGATACCGTTAGGCCAATGACCTGTTGGTTATTATTATTTACATTTTAATTCACTAAAAATTGGACTATGATTAAAAACAACAAAAAGAGAAAACTTGGCCTATTTATCCCCCTCTAAGTCTATTGATTGAGACATTTTTGCAACCACGTCCCCATTCTGCAGCTCTCATGTTGAATTAGAGCTTAGCATCTGGTATCATTGTCTCCTTTGCCATGATGTACCAACAAATGGGCTATGCTTAGAAATGGGAGACAGGATTTTGTAATTAACTGGAGATTGGAAGTCTTCCAGGATACAAAAACTCCAAAATGAGAACATTATCCTGTAACTTATTTTCCTTCTAATTTTATTGATTATATGTTCTGTAAAAGTTGTTGCTAATATGCCATAGAAATTCTCTACACAGGACAGTTGATTGTAGCATCATTGCTCAAGCGGAATATAAAAGTACGCCTACTACTTCGAGATCTTGAGAAAGCTACTGCTCTGTTTGGTAAACAAGACGAGGAAATGTTACAGGTATTTCAGCTTCTATCTGTCTAATGCATGACCGATTGTTGACAATTAAAAGTTTGTTTCTTTTTCCTCCTGTTATTTTTTAAAACAAAAATTCTTGCTTCAAAGTTGTTTTCTTTCCTCAGGATATAAAATTTTATAGTTATTGTAGTTTTTAAAACTTGATAGGTAAGGATAGGGGACACTCGAAACCCAGCAGATCTGGATCCATCTATATTTGAGGTTTGTGCTTTGATTTGGATTATTTAAAATGTTTCCTTCTGTATGAAATGTGTGCTTGTAGATGATACTTGAAAAGATATTTATTTTAGAAACCTTGTCTTATAGGGTGTCACACATGTTATTTGTTGCACGGGAACAACGGCATTTCCGTCGAGGCGATGGTATGGAGATAATACACCGGAACGAACAGGTAAGAATCATATTTTGTGGAATGAATCTTAAATTAGTAAGTAGAGGTCTATCATTTTCTATATTATTATTATTTTTTTTTGATAAGTTATCATTTTCTATATTATCAATACGAATAAACTTGTTTGGTATAAAATGGAGTGACTATGCGGTAGTAGAGCACTGTGGGAGAAGATGAAAAGGGTATAATTGTTGCAAATTGAAAACAGAGACATTTTCATTCATAACACATAGGGAACTCACAATTAACATTCTATGGACTATATACTTACATATCTGAACTGACTGCAACCACCACAGTAAATGCTGCAATTGTTTTGGAATGCAGTTATAATCCTGCAAATAGTTTTTATTTTATTTTTATTTTTATTCATATTAATTAAGACTTATTAAAATATGGATTTAACTGTCAATAATAACTCTATCGGATAACTGAGTTACCTGAAACTAACAGAACACTCATATAACCCATTGAAAGTCGAGAAAAATTCACTAAAATTTGGTGGTTCCCTTAAAATTATTTTGTAAAAATATACTTGGTTTGACTTCTCTTGGAAGCAATACTTTGACTTTGTTATAGCAATTTGAATATACAAAATCCTTGTATTATCCCTTGTCCATATACTTTCGTATGTGTATAACATAAATGCAAACAGCCTTGGATCCTGGATGGTCTAATGTTTTGTGCCTGGATCTGTCTATAAGCATGCATGCCTCTTTAATACCTTTGATGCTGTTGACTGTATATTTTGCGATTGAAGATTGGGAAGGCGTGAAAAATCTCGTCTCTGCGCTGCCTTCAACATTGAGAAGGATTGTTCTTGTTTCATCAATTGGAGTAACCAAGTTCAATGAACTACCCTGGAGGTACGGCCACTTCTAGGTTGTATGTTTTTTTTTGTAGTGTTGATTTTTATGCAATTTCAGTTTTGAAATATGCATAAGATCATATAGAAGTATTTTGGTCAGAACTAACTCATGTAATTTTTCTATTAAATCTTTGGCTCAAAACTGACAAATCCTTTGAGAACTTCTGAAAGAGCTCACATTTTCTGTTCGCCTTTTGCTTTTTACTCCTTCTTATGGAGGTTGATTTTACGAAATCTTCCTTGTTGAGACATCCTTTTAGTCATTTAAATCTTCCATAAGAACTGTTTCATTTCATGGTTAATCAAATGAGGAGGAGACAAAAGTGGATATGTTTTTACTTTATGACTACCGAGGATAATGTATTTCTATAGAAAAAGTAGGAGAAGAACCCATAGAACATACAAGAAAGGAGCAAGCTTTTTCTATGTGCTAATTTTTTTTTTAATGTTTTTTTATCTTGAGCATTTATCTTCCATCTTTCCAACAATTGTTAAATATGAATTTCCTATGATTTCTAAAGAGCAAGCTTTTTCTATGTGCTAATTTTTTCAAATTTTTTTTTATCTTGAGCATTTATCTTCTATCTTTCCAACAATGGTTAAATATGAATTTCCTATGATTTCTAAATTAATGAGAAAAAAATCAAATTATTTTTCCAGGTATAATGTGAATCCTCAAATAAATCCATATAACAATTTTAAGAAGTTTAAGGAGGTATACTGAATGATGAATATTATTTTCCATAGCTTTTTCTATGTTTGTGTGACTGTGCTAGTAGGTTTCGTTCCACCATTATCTAAACCAATATCAATTCTTAAATCAACATTGAATAACGAGTATGAAACCAGTGGAATTGAATTGTGCCTCCATCAGGGTGTTGGGTTTATGGTTATGAAGGAGGCTATAACCTATTGTGTTGTTAATTGTCACCTTTGGACCCCCAAAAAAAATATATATATATATTGAAAGCATTTAAAAATCACATATTAAAACTCAAACAAGAAAAAGAAAAAGAGAAAGAAAACACGAGACTTCTTTAAAATTTTAAAGTTACAAATTGAAGCCATAGCACAATAATTAAGCAAAAAAAATAATCATAGGAATTGACCCTCAAAACTAGTTTAGGTAAGATCTTATAAAATGCATTAAGCAAAGTTAGAGGTTGAGAATAGTCATCTAAGCCTTTAAGGCTTGAACTCATAAGTTCCAATATTTTTTGGTATTAAATCTCTCATTATTTACACAATTAGAACGCTTCTGGTTAACTGAACCTTGCCCAACTATTTAAGGCCAAATATGTAAATTTTGTATGCCATACTGTTTATTTGAGTTTGTATAACATGAGGTGGATGTTCCTTGGATGAGTAGCAGAAGTTCTTGATAGTTGGATGGGAGGTGGAGTGGTGGACTTAGGCGGGCGAAAAGGCACACATGTAAAGCCACCTTTTTGTACTTTATGTGGTGCATTTTGGGGGAGAAGAATGGGCAGTCTTTTGAAGGAATGGAGGAATTTATTTGTAGGTGAAAAATAATTCTTTGGGCATTCTGTTTAGTTGGAATAGGGAGGGTGAATCTGCCTATTGGGACCTTTTTGGATAGCAATTAATTATTCTTTAATTTCTAGGCTTGTATATTTTGTTTATTATACATTACATTTATAATTGTTACACTTGGGGTGGCAAATTTGTGAAATAATCCGTGAACCTGACTCGAAAATGAAGAATCTAGTGGTTAAGTTAGGTGTAATTGTGTTCGAGTTGTATATGGTTCGATATGATTAACACGTTTGTTAAATAGGTCGTTTTTATATACATGTTCATTAAATAGGTCTTTGGGCACCTTAGCTATTTGTAATCTGTATAACTCGAAAGTATTACAACCTGTTAAGTGTAAGGACCATGATCCCGAGGTTCTGATGTGAGAGTATTTGAAAGCCCCAGCTAGACATAGAGGGGGAAAATAGGTCTGTAAAATTTTTGAAACCCTAACTGTCTATAACTGATTTCTGAATTAAATTTTAATTATACCAATTATTAATTTGAATCCCTTTATATTTATGTATTGGTTTGTTGTGTCCAATTGATTATTCAAATATGAGAAGATAATCAAAGCAGTAAGAGCAAAATAAAACAATCACATGAACACACCAAATTTACGTGGAAAACCCCAACAGAGAAAAACCACAGAATTTAGTCCATGAAAACCAACTTCATTATGAGAAAAAAATTACAACTAGGGTAACAGCTCCCAAACCCAGAACACAAATTACCTCTTGGCACAGATTTTTTTTTGATAAGTACCTCTTGGCACAGATTGATCCACCAAACTCTTGACTTGAGTCTCTAGGCACACGGTCCACTCGTTAATAGATCTGATCCTCATTCAATCCTCTTCTCTAATCGGTGATTTGATCTCCAATGACTAGTCGTCTAAGCTTCTGATGTGTAGGTGTAGTGGTTGACCCATCTTCAAGTATGCAATGAAGCTCCTTGTTGTAGAACTCAATCATGCAATAATATAGGGTATTCTATGAAGAACCTCACTTGTGGTTGGAAAATAAAGCTGTAATCTCTCTTACAGTTCTGTAATTCTGTCTCTTGTACCATGCTTATGTTTATAGAACCCTAAGACAACATTTTCTAGTGTTGAAGTGATTATAAATTGATTATGAGCTGAGAGATGTGCTTTGTAATATCTTATAAGCCAAGAGATGTGCATATAAGCATATATTATTTATATCTTTACTTGCATATAGTCATAAGCCGATCCCATGTAGCCAAGAAGATGGGACAAAGGCTTTGTTGGGTTAAGTTGAGTGACTTGCCTATAATCATAAATGTAATTCACTCGGCCTCTAGGTTTTCAAGCATACAAGCATTTTCCGGCATAAACTGGTTTTCTGCTTATAAATGTCTAGTGATTTTAAAAAAAATCTAAATTACTGAATGCCTTTTTTTATAAGTAATTCAAACTATTGAATGTTGAAGTGGTATTTCTGGAACACGTGCATTTAGAGTCATTGGATAAAGAGGAAGAGTTGTTTGTTTAGAAGGTAAGCGACAAAGAGGCCGACCAAAGCTTACATGATGAAGTATTAAAAACATCTTCAAAAATTAAAATTTAAGCCTGGACCTGGTGTATAATAGGAAAGGATGGAAAAAGAAATTCATGTGACCGATCCCATCCATATGGGATAAGGGCAAGGTTGATGATGGTGCTGATGATGATGATGCATTTGGAGTCATAATAAAAAAGAAAACACATACGTACGCAGATAAGTCTCTTTGCATATTTTATCTCAAATTATTTAAGAAGTTAACTATAAAACATAGTGTACCCATCCAATTCAACATTTAGAGTATCTATAAAACATAGTGCGTCTACCCATCCAATTCAACATATAGAGTATCTTGTATACCCCAGGTCTAAATTATTCTCTCTTTGCTGCGAAGCTAAATTGGAGATGAACTCCACAACAGTGCTTTTTCATGAAATAAATCAAATTTGTCTGCCTGTTTTCTAATCCCTTCCGTTATCCTCATAGTATCATGAACCTTTTTGGCGTTCTCAAGTATAAGAAGATGGGGGAGGACTTTGTTCGTGATTCTGGTATTCCGTTCACCATAATCAGGTCTGTGACACCTAATTTCGTCTTTTAATTGATAGAAATAGACATCTATCGTATGGATTATGGAGACATTTCAATAAGCATGTGCATTTTTTTTTATCCTTTAGTCTTTACTTATGCTACACTCTTTTTTATACTAGACCTGGTAGATTGACAGATGGACCATACACATCATATGATTTGAACACACTAATCAAAGCTACCGCTGGGCAACGGCGTGCAGTCCTTATTGGTCGAGGTATACGATTCAGTTTTACTAGATAGAAGAATATAATTTTTTTTATTTTTTTGTTCTTTAGGATCTAAAGATGTTCCTCTATTACCACAAAGAATTATTTATCTGATGAGTCAATCATGGATCCTTTGCCCGCACCAAAACTTAGCATACAACAAAATTATGACTGAAGATGCTGGTAATACCAACTTAATTTTTAATATGGCGTTTGAACTTCAATTCAAAAATCATTGAAGTTTATTTAAAGATTTATTAGCTAAAGAAAACTTCTAAAAACTAATGTTATTTTGTATGAGCATGAAAACTTTGAATATTATGTGCTCAAACTACAGGGGTGAAATCCATAATATGCTTGTATAGTAAATTAAGGGGCAAGTGCGGCCATATTAAATGGATTGTGGTTTTGGTAGGAAAATTCGACTACATGCCGGCAATATGTGAAAGTGATGTAAAGATTCTCTTGGAGAACGAGGTGAATAAATATTTTGTTGAGGTCAATCAAAAAGTCCGCCTTGTGGAAGTTTAGGAAGGGAGACCTTTGTATTCCTCATCATCTCTTTCTTCTTAGGAAGTGTGGTCGTCATTATTATTATTTCGGCCTAAGCAGTCTCTTATTTATTTTTCTGTTTCTCTAGCTTTATGAAAATGAATATATGTCTCGGCCTCTGGGAACCTATGTTACCTAGACTCGGTAGTCTGTCGAGAACGGGTATGTATCCAAGCATCAGACATATCAAATTCCCAAATAGAAGGACATAGGGAGACTGCTAAATATTCATATTATCTAATATTGTCATTTTATTTTATAGATTAAAATAATTTGTGTATGTTACATAGTGTTTAATGTGGACATTTCACTCATTTTGAAGCAATTATATAATAAAATTGAATCATTGGACATGCACCCAGAAGTGTCGGATACCTATCCCATACCCATGTCCGAGAACAAGTACTTCAACTACTTTTGAAAAGTCCATGTAACATGGCTGGGAACGTTTATTCTATAACTTCCAACTTTTATTGAAGTGGAATTGTGGACAAAAGATAAGGTGTGCAGTACGTGAGAATCAGGTCGTTGGCTTGGGATTTTATCTACTGGCTTTGAAGTTTTTGTTGATGATGCAAATGATTAATGATGTCTTAGAAAGTGCCTTGAAGAACTCGAAGAGTCATTTCTGTTCTTAGTACGTTTTAGGAAAGTGAAAAGGATAAAAGGCTGTGTAGGGAAGATTAGATGTCACTTTTGGCTATATTATAAAAGGACAACCCCTTTTCTCTATGGTAACAACTCTTAGTCAATATAATTTTGAGATATTATCAATTTATACCTATTCTTTAGGTTTTCTCAGATTTTTCGTAATCTTGTTAAATGTGGGTGGTTGGGTTTTTAATATGATTGATGGGATGACAAAATGTGCACTCGAAGCCTTTGTTATGGTGTATGGTGACTTTTTCCCTCGAAATAAGTTTGAGCACTTGAATACTCAAACGAGCTATTATTCTCAACCTCGGCCCTGAGAAACCAACTAAGTATCCTGTATCCCATTTGGAGAAATATTGGAGTTACAAATGTTCCACTTTTGGAAGACCACCCTGCGTTATATCACCAGATTTGAATTTTTCATACATAAATGTAACTAATGTATCTCCTTCATAAAGGATTTCACCATAATGGCCACTAGGTATCCTTCATGATCATGCTTCCTACTATTCCAGTGTTCTTATCTATTTGAGGTTCATATGTGGGAAAGAGCTCCTTGAGATGCACTTCAAGGTTTATCTATGTGGAAGAATTCCTTAAGATGCACTTCGAGGTTTATCTATAGGGAATATCTCCATGAGTTGTGCTTTGATTTTTATTGGTGGGCAAGAATTTACCGAATTGTAATGTGTTTTGGTTTGCTTTCAGGCTATCTCTGGTTTGAAAGTCAACATGGGTAAGAGTGTGCTTGTCCCTGTGGAGGAGGTTCAGGAGGTGGACACTTTGGTTGTTGTTTTAGGGTGGGACGCAACGCTTCCCTATCTCGTACTTGGGTTTGCCACTGGGGGACTCGGCCAGGAGGGTGGGAAGTTCGGACCAGGTGATTGAGCGGGTTGAAAGAAGATTAACTGGTTGGAAAAAGCAATCTCTCTTCAAGGGTGGTAAAGTTACGTTAGTGAAAAGCATCTTGTCAAGCCTCCCAATGTATATTCTTTCTCTCTTTCGGATCCCAGCCTCTGTTGTTGGACGCCTTGAGATGCTTCGACGAAACTTCCTTTGGGGGGGTCGTGGAGAGGAGTTTAAGTAGCATCTTGTCAGATGGGAGTAGGTTTGCAAGCCTTTTCAGTTAGGCAGGCTTGGGATTAGGAGATTGGCCCCCTTCAATAGTGCTCTCCTTGGCAAGTGGCTTTGGTGATTCGGCAGTGAAAGGCATAGATTATGGAGAAGGGTTATTTCATGTCGCTTTGGGGAGGAGAGAGGGGGGTGGTCAGATAGGCCAGTCAGGTCTTGCTAGTGGAGTGGGGGTGTGGGGGCCATTGGAAAGGGATGGGACAAATTTTCCAAACATATTAGATTCAGAGTTCGGGATGGAAGGTATGTCCAGTATTGGGAGGACTCCTGGTGCGAGGATAGGCCTTTGGCTCTTTTATTCCCAAGGCTGTTCAGAATTGCTGTTAACAAACATGCTATGGTTGCTAACTGTTATTGCCTTGATAGCGGGAGGTTGTCTTGGGATGTGCGATTCCGGCAATCTTTTCAGGATTGGGAGTTGGATGATGTCATTGGCTTGTTGGCTCTCCTGTACAGACAGGAGGTGGAGGGCACTGGTGCAGATTCCCTGATTTGGGTGCCTTCATCTTAGGGGATGTTTCAGGTCCGGTCTTTTTTTGTGTGCCTCTCTAGTTTTCATGGCTCTACCTTCCCGTGGAAGACGGTGTGGTTGTCCAAGGCGCCTCTTAGGGTGGCCTTTTTTGTGTGGACTGCAGCTTGGAGTCAGTGGATCACACTTGCTGCTGCATTGTCCTGTGGCTCATGACTGTTGGAGTCTTATTTTTGGTCTGTTTGGTATTCATTAGGTCATGCCTCGGACTTCTCGGGAATTGCTGGATATTTGGAGGGGCCAATGGGTGGGAGCTCAGGCGAGAAACTTTTGGAGGGTGACCTCTTTTTGCGTTTGGTCGAGCCTTTGGAAAGAGCGGAATAGAAGATCCTTTGACGGGAAGGAGTCCTCCATTGGGGTGCTGAAATATTCTATTATTTGTACTCTCTTTTTTTGTTGGGGTTGGGGGAGAGATTATTCTTCTATTGAGGATATTGTGGACCTTTTGGGCTTTTTGAGATCATAGGTTCCGTTTTGTTTTTTGTATCGCTTGGGACGCGTTCTCCTTTTGAATGCCTTCTAATACATTTTACTTATAAAAAAAAAATAAAAAATAAAAAATTTACTGAATTATAATATGAGGTCTATATATGGGGAAGACCCCATGGAAGTGTACATGTTGGTTTATCTATGTGGAAGTGTACCCGTTGCCTGTTGGTCTCGAGGTTTATTTGTGGGGAAGATATCTTGAGACACACTATCGGCCTCAAGGTTTATCCTGGGGAACTTTACATTTTGATTTTGCCACCTTGTGTGGATTTGTCTGGTTATATTGACCACCACGTCTTTGTGTTTGGTATATACCCACAAATAGCTTTTAGACATTTGTCATCACAATCCTCATTACATGGCCATTATAATTTCTTAGAATGCCTTTTTTTGGTTCATTTACATTGGACTGTTGGAAACAAAACTTGAATGAGATAAAGAGAAATATGGTGCTATTTAGGGTTGTATCTATGAATAAGTCATATATCTACAAAGATGTCATAGGTTGACTTGTTATGCTTTGATGCAGCTATGTTGAAGCCATAGTTTGGCCCTGTTAACCTGTCTTTTGAATGAGGTTGAACCGAGCAGCACTTGTGCCGATAGATTTACCTTTTTTTCTCCATCTTGGTTGGACTGTGGTGCAAACCAGTTAAACAATATGTTAGAGTCTGCTTCCACATTCAAAAGACGGGTTAACAGAGCCAACGGGCATTGACATAGCTGCATATAAGTATAACTAGTCAAGCTACAACTTCTTGGTTGGAGTCTGGTACAGACCAGTGCAATGATATGTTAGAATTTGCTTCAACTTGTGGATGATCAATAATTATACTTTATAATTTGTTGCTGTAGTTCTGAAGAATACCAATTTTTCTTGCTTTGTAATACAATAGTGGAAGATGAGAATATTTTCATTTACTTCCTGTCCACTAATGTGTGTGCCATTAGTTTTTCTAAATTTGTGATAATGTTACATTTTGTGTTTATGCACGTGTTGGTTTTGCATATTATTTTCAGGAGATAAACTTGTTGGAGAGGCTAGCAGACTTGTAGTTGCTGAAGCTTGCATACAGGCATTGGACGTAGAATTTACTCAAGGCGAAATTTATGAAGTTAACTCTGTTCAGGTAATTAATTACCTTACGCTGATTGAAATATTGTTCTGGTGAGTGTTTTTGACACCCCAAGTATACCAGATTAATCCCACTTCAATAGTGTATGATTAATATATGCTAACACCATTGTTTCGGATGTTGCCATTTGAATCATCATAGAACATAATTGAAGGTACCTTGAGAAACTAGATTAATTATTAGAAAAATGATAGTTGACAATAAGTGGGGGTGAGCTGGGTAGCCCAATTGGTAGAGGCACTCCCCTGTGTGTGGGAGCCCAAGTTCGACTCACCCCATCCTCCCCTCCCTGGCAAAAACAGTAAGTGGCAGTGTGGCACTATATCTAGAAAACCCTAACATATCCTATAAATGCTTAAATAGTATGGAATAGACTTCGTTCACTTGCTTTGAAAAATTAAGCGGATTCACTTCAATGCTGTATGAGACACAAGGGGTCGTTCTCTTTCCATGAAATGCCGAACTGCTCGTCCTAGCACATTTCATGTTTCAGACATGAACATTACTGTTGATTGTTATTGCTTTTTCTTCCATCATGATAATGACTATTTGGCTTTGTGATGAATGGTTTTCAGATAGTTTCTAAGTAATCTCTTTTTTAATTACAAAGGTGGCCTTAACTTAAAATGTCTGTTAGTTCATTATCATCACATTCACATCTTTTTTCATGCTGTGTACATCATCTCTGCAGTAAATATTTGTTATTTGATTAAACTTTGATTTCTGAATGATTTCTAAAAGCTGCCATGTTAGGAAAGCTCTCTTCATCTTCATGGACTGAAATAGTATGAAATTGTGCAGGGGGAGGGACCTGGAAGTGATCTGCAGAAATGGCGGGAGTTATTTAAAGCTGCCACAGTTCAATGACTGCTCTCACAATGTTTAATCCGATCACTACATCCATGAAGATACTCCAAGTGGCCAGTAAGTGCTAAAACCCGGCGATGGTGAATTGTGAATAGTTGTAATTTTCTTCTTATTATTTACCAGCATAAAACATTGGAGTCCCTAGCAAGAATGCGCTAAGTGTGTGTAAATATACATTGTTGCTGAACTTGTAAGGAAATAAAGGTTGCTTAAATCAGTTCCTATCAATCTTTTCCCTTGAGCAGTTTGGCCAAGAAGGATGCCTATAGTTAACTTTAGATAGTTGGACACCATAGAGTTTGGAATATATGCTTAACCTGATGAAGCCTGCCTATTAATTTGGCATTAGGGATGGAAAATTGGAATTAAGGGAACATATGAGGGGTGGAAAATGTATTCCTTGGGAAGGAACAAGCCCTCCTCTTCTTTTGTATTGATTAAAGAAGAAAAGGAGGAAGGAAATGGTAGATTATCAAATGGGCACTGCCAAGATGGTATAATCTCTCCTCTTCAAATAGGTCTGAGTGTTCAAGCCTCGGTGGAGGCATAATATATACAGTGGGTGCGAGAAAAAAAAAAAAAAAAAAAAAACTTTATACGCTCAATCTGTGGTATTATTTGAAGGGTTCATTCCCTCATTTTCTTTAACGATTTGGGAGGAAATAATGTTGTGGGTGCAGAAGAGAAGTATACGACAGTTTAAATGGTCCAGTACAATTTCAAAATGAGCGACCAAGTTGAGCTTTAATATCTGGCTATTTGAGGGTGGCTAGGTCAAACTGTAATTTGTTCAAGTTTGGCCGCTCTCTGCCTTAAATTTTTTTATTAAAAAAAAAAAAAAAAAAAACCTTCTCAACAAATTGCATCATTAAATACATTGAGGATGTCATTAGATTAGTGTCTCCCGTGAGTTTTTGTTTTTTATTTTTTAGAAGACGCGTATCGGTTCTACAACACACATGCAATTCAAGTTAAGAGTGTGATTCGAAAGCGAGACTTCAAGGATTTATCTTTTGGATCCCTATTAACGTCGCTATTTCTTAGAAGCGTCTCCCGTGGACTTTGGATAGTCAGGTTTCGACCATATGCATGTATTAATCTAACATTTATTACCTTAGAATATATATATATATATAAGAATTAGGAATTATAATTATGACGATATTGCTCGAATTGGTTAATGATGAAACGAGGAAATTAATGGGTATTGAATTGAGCTCTGAGTTCATGTACAATTAGATTCATTTGTAGTTATCAATCCAAACTCAAGAAATGTATTATTTCAGTCATTTTTTGCATGCTTGATTTGTATTTGACCTTGAGTTGTGAGGTCAAACTATCGTGCATTTGTGCTTCCATGAATTGATAAAATTAGAGGAAAAATAGATGGAATGCCCTGAAAAAGATACAAAGAAATATTTAAACAAAATAAATGTTAACGACAAACGCAGCAAAATTACGAAACATTGACAGAAAAGTAAATACACTACATAAAAAATACAAATAATACAAAGATTTATATTTGATTTAGCAAAGTCTACGTCTACGAAGGAGATTCAACAAAAGCCTTTATTATGTGTAAAATTAGAAATTACAAGTTTCAGTCATACGGTCTATTCTATATGAATTTCAAAGTCTCTCATGTTGGTTATATATCGAGTTACAATAGAGTAATAATTAGGACTTACGACCTATGAGCAAAAAGGGGTTAAAAAATTTCTTTGGAACCAAGCTTCCAAACCCCTAGAACTTTGGTGGGCTTGGGCTCACGAGTCATGGGCTTGGGTTCATCCAAAGTTCGTCCAATGAGTTATCGGGTTGCAACGCGATCCGATATCATATTCAATCCGCAACATCACAATAAATATAAATTGCTTTTTGAGGCTAAAAACTCAAAGCATACTTTACACAAATCTGAACAAGATATGCCAACGCGTGGTATGAAAGAAAAACTATTTACACCGAGAGGGAGAGATTATCAACAGTGATATCAATGCATGGTAAGACTGACTATTTAAATGCTAACAAGTAATAATAGAATCACTTAAATGATATATTTTTACTTAATATTATAATATATAATTGATTAGTGATATTACGTGACATGGTATTACTGGAGACACTGGAGGCAATTGTTCCCTTGCCCAATGAAAACATGACTCCACCAATACCAACCATTTGTTATCTTTTCTTTAATGAAAACGTGATTCAACCAATACCAAATATTTGTTCTCCAAATGATCCTAATTTTTTCTTTTCTTTGTAAATTTGCGCAATGAAAATAAATGATTAACAGATGTAACAAAAGGGTAACGACAAGGAAGAAAAATAGGGTAAGGACAAGGAAGATTTGGGGAGGGAAAAAGGAGATATGAGATTTCTCTTAGTTGGGTAAATGTGGGATCATTATGTTATATGTTTCCATGTGTGTGGAAAAAAAGAGAAAAAAAAAATTACTTTTAAGAGACATTTTTTTTTGAAACAGGGAGTGTACATCTTTCGTAACAAATGGGTCATATATATAAGTCCGTGATGTAATGTACAATATAAGTTGGGTTCTCAAATCTAACTTTCGCCCTATCCAATCTATTCGAATATAGAAATTCTCGGTTAGAATTTTCGACTTGACTATTAGATCTGAAGAGGAACGGAGCAAGGATTTTAGTTTAGGGCGCACAATGTTAAGAAAAAAAAATTATTTAAAGGAGTGGAAGGGAAAAAAAATATATATTTAAAGGAGTAGAAGGGAAAACAATAAGAAAAATGACAACTTAAAAAGGAAATAATTAAAATTTAATTTTTTTAAAGGAGTTTGAAGAGTAAATTAGGAAAAAAAACTAGAAAAATAATAGATAATTTTAAAACTAATAATTTGAGGGGGCATTATATAAAAATTTCCATATACACACATATAAAATATAATTTTTTTTCTATATCTATAGTGGGCGGGGCAGGCCAGAGGAGGCAAGTGCCCGAGGCATATAATGGCTCCGCCCCTTTGTCTGAATAGCATTATCCATTCAATGTATTAGAGTGGAATAGTCCTGTTTTTGATGAAATTGGACACCCTACATTTCTTTGGAGAGAGAAAAAAATTTTTTGATATTCTTCAATCTGTGAATTCATTGGTGCTGCTCCTCCTCCCATATATAATCTACACAAGAATCAGTTAGAGGCCTAATTTGTATGGACCTTAATAAGTCTGATTGGTCCATATTAATCTATGAACATTTCACCATGTAGTTAGCGTTGTTGCAATGTAATTAATGGCTGTGCAATGTGATTTTCCCTAGGACTGGAATTCAAAGGGTTACAAACAAAATTCTCTTTCATCCAACTTAAAAGAAGTGATTCCCGTGCATTTTTATTGTACTTATTTTTAGTGATACACGAATATTACGTGGTTCAGTAACTAAGGTTTACGTTTAGGGTAGGAGAGGTTCAGTAACTAAGTAACTAGGGTTTACGTCCAAGGAGAAGAGATAAGGATTCTTCTTAGGGTAGGAGAGGTTCAGTAACTAAGTAACTAGGGTTTACGTCCAAGGAGAAGAGATAAGGATTCTTCTTATTTAGTATGTCTCAATGGAGATTACAGAAGCATGATAAATAGTTACAATGTCATCCTAATTAAAGAAAAAGTAGGGACCGCGATTTAAGGAAATTACCATCAACTGCTCACCATATCAATTAAGGAAATAGAATAAAACCCATAAATCTCTCTTCTCCACCAACAGGTTTTTAGGTCAAAACTGAACAACATCTGATGGTTAGGAAATAACTGAGTTCATGAAGGAGTGATATTAGAGAGGTTTGTGATATACATTCATGATCTACATTGTTTGGCTTTTAAAGCACATGTATAATAATTTTGCTAATCCCAATCCTATCCCCTTCTCTATGCTTCCATGCATCCTATAGATTTCAAAATCTTGTGTAAGTTTACCTCTCAGATCAAAACACACAGGCTATTAAAATTGAAGACAAAAAAACAGGCACAGAGGTTTGATCAAGGAAACAACATTTAATTGGTTCCAACATTTAAATACAACGTAATACATAAAAAAACAGTATCTTATAGATTCAGGAAGCCTCAAAAGAGTGCCAACAGAGATAGAAGAATATGCATTTTTACAAGTACCCTGAAGCAAGCGACGAAGGGAAAGTCGTTCCATGCATGGAAGAGTAATCAAATCCTGGAAGGAATCATGGGAATGGTGTTCTGTAGGTATGCACAAGCAGCTGCAACTCCGCTCCCAAGCTTGACCGGGTAACCCACGTCCTTGAGTACCATCTCCACACCAGCAAGACAGCCAAGCAATTGCAACTGCGAAACAAAAATTCACGAACAAGTACATAAATCAGCCGGAAAAGGGAATTTCTACTCGATCGATTGTGCTTTTTGTGAATATTTCCGACGTTATTGCAACAAGAAGTTTACTGGAGAGTAAATATTTGCTGTTGCTTTGATACTGAACATAGGGAAAGGTAAACAAAGGATATGATTAAGAAAACATACATCATTTAGGTTGCCAAGATGCCCTATCCTGAACACCTTTCCAGCGACTTTGTTCAGTCCGAGACCTAAGCTTAAATTGTATCTCCTCCATCCCCTTCTGACAATTTCCGAACTATCAATATATGGAGGAACAACCACAGCAGTAACCGTGTCGCTAAACCATTCCTCCTTTTGTGTGCAGTTCTTCAAACCCCATGCCTCCACAGCAAGCCTGCATTTTGAAATTGAAAATACTTCTCATTTTCTATCAAATACAATAGCAACGAAAAACAACGGAAATACCTTGACAAAGCATTAGAAGCACAATGATAGATATTGGGATATGGTAATGCTTTCACTTCAAATTCACTGACGACAAGGAATATATAGTTTATCAACATCCTTGCCTTGATCCCATTTTGAATTGTTCGGCCATGTTATTAAATTGAGTCTCTTCTTCCATTCTTTTCTACTATAGGCTTTGACTCCTAGTATATCTTAAACACAAATATATACACGAGCATTTTATAATTTACGTTGGGCAAGATTCGAGAATGAAATTGAGGTTGGGAAAAGCTGCCTCTGTTAGTAAAGAAATGCATAGACCAAGAATATTGTACTATAAAATGATTAAATATGTAATTAATCCTGGAATTAGTTGGGATGCTAATGATAATGCACAGTACCTTGCTTGATGAAATATAGGGGACATTTGAGACTTCTCGAAATATTCTATAGATTCGTCATCAATTATGAGGGAGAAACTGCCTTACCTTGTTGCTTTGCCAAGGCGGCCATGCCTTGCAATCACATTGTCCAGTCCTTCTTCAAAAATGAGATCCAAGGCTGTTCTCAGCCCATACAACAGTTGGATGGAAGGAGTATAAGGCCAAAATGTTCCCATCTTATAGAACTTCAAGTAGTCCTTCCAGTCGAAGAAAACTCTCACCGATTTTGCAGTTTGAGAGGCCTCAAGAGCTTTGGGGCTTGCACACACAATTCCCATTCCAGTGGGAAGAGAGAGAGCTTTTTGAGAGCCAGTTAAAGCCACGTCTATACCCCATTCATCCATGCGGAAATCAAGTGCGCATATGGAGGACACCCCATCAACAAGGAAGAGTGCTGGATGCCGGTAGTCATCTGCGATAAACGTAATAAATTTGAGACCGATTTATATATCCAGAAAGATAGAGGCAAGGAAAAGGAAAGCAAAGGAGCTGTCAACCGAAAGGAAAATGAAAAAATAATAAAACTGAAAAGCATCAAGTGAAATGAGATTGAAGTACAGCTTTGAGGCCAATGACGACACATGCATCAAGAAAGCAAACACAAACACATTAGCAACTACGCAAGCCATTTAACAGAATAAAATAAAATTGACATGAAGCAGTGAAAAATGTGAATTAGCATGGTATTGTGTATGAGGATTCCAGACAGTTATGGTTCACTTAAACTCCAGTTTATCAGCTTAGTGATGTTTTATTATCCGTGTTTAACAGAAGTTTACATTAATTATCAATAACTAAGAATAGAAGGTAGCAGACATAACATTCTGAGATTAAAGTATTGTAATCAGAAGCTGAAGTACAACAGCACACATTGCCAAGCCAGGTACATAATAACACTTCAACTAAAAACACAATGCTTAAACCTTTACTTCAAAAACAATTCATAGCCATTAGAAGTGCATACAAATGCAATTTATATATACATGAAAAACTTTAATTAAATGGCCTTTCCATAAGAATAAAGCACTCAAAAGAAATGCACTATAATCAGCTAAACTGTTGCAGCCTCGCAGGTACTAATTAATACTTGATATTTCCAGAATTTCAAATAGCAGGAACAAGGCAAATAAAGTAAATTGGAGTTTGAACAAAATCTTACTTCATAGCTTATATAACAAGGTGAAGCATTAATGCCAGGGAGCAAAAAACATCTCACTTCATCACTAATATGGATTGCGGTCCCACAAAAGCCTTGATGGAGAAAGAGTTTCACTCATTTCCCATAAAGTTTTTCACTCTTAATCCGTCTAACTTTTGATCTTGTAACCCTCTGGAGCTTCCGATATATTTTTTTCATTCAAAGCCAATGCATTGAGTACCAAGCTAATGTTGTTCATCTTTGCCAATTTAGTACCATTATAAGAGGATCGGGCCAAATTCCCTCCAATGAAGAGAAAACACAAACTAAGGCCGATCTAATTGGTTCTTATTAATCCTATCTTGATTAAGCATCATGTAGTAAGAGGACAGTAGTGACGAACCCTGTAGACCATCCCCGTGGGGGTGGTGAAGGGAGAGCCATAATTGGTAGAAGAAAACCACAACAATGCTGTCAATAGATCAAATTATTGAGTTATTGTGTCTACGGTGAAAAACAGAGACATCTTGTTAATTAAAATCTGTCATACACTGACAAATATGAATGTGTTCATTATGTGCGTATGCATTTTGTAATTGATGTAGCGTCAAGAACTGATTGTCTCCATCGAAAATAAACCGTGTATTTAATTATTTGGCTTTCTTGATGGCCTGAATATGAACAGTTTTCAAACATAGTACAGAAGAAAACTGGCTTTTAAGTAGGAATCTCCTTATACTCATTTGGGTTATGTAGATAAATTCACACATTTCACAATTTGAGTAATCCAGTTAAAAGGCATGTTATCAGTATAATTGAAAATGAATTCTGGAGATCATAAGATGAGATAAATTAAGCAATGAACTCTACACAATGTGGCCTAAAATAAATACTCACCGAGTATTTTTCTCACAGCAGACAAGTTGTTGGTTACTCCAGTAGCTGTCTCATTGTGCACAATGCAAATGGCCTTGATAGAATGGGCAGTATCTGCTGCTAGTTTTGATGCCAAAACTTCAAGATTGGCACCTTGGCCCCAGTCACTTTCGACCACATCAACATTGAAGTTCAGGCGTTGCTGCTGATCAATCCACAGCAAACTGAATTGGCCAATAAGGAACGAAATGATTCGATCGCCAGGAGACAGTGTGTTTGTAAGTGCACTTTCCCATGCACCAGTGCCTGTACCAAAACAGCAACATCATCTTGCAAATCAAGAGTAACCAACAATGCAAAGTCTAGTTGAAACATGAAGTCTTAATACATTACATTCCAAGAAAATGTTGCATTTGACAGCCTAAATTCATCATTTGAAACAGTTTCACAGAAAAGACCAATCTGCACTTGGTGAACAATTTTTTAGGCCAAAAACTGAAAAAGAAAAAGTCTTCCCAAATATGTAGATCCTTTTAGTACTGAATATAACAATGTGTAAAGCTAACTTAACCTGCTAAAATCACTTTACATGACTAGAATTATCCTGAATCACCTCAGGGAGACCATGAAACTTTTTATTAATAAATCGAAATGGTTCTTCTTATGCCCAATTTGTGCAATGTAGCAGTATGTAACAAAATTAGCTCACTAGAGAGTAACAACAAAGAATTGATAACATGTTTAGTAATTAAAAAGAAGTAATTTCTTGAATCCTAAAACTGACTTCTTTATGGTACCAAATATCATAATTTTGAATGAAAACAATAACTAATGGACTCATTTGAGGTAAATAAGCATCAAGTATAGCATGAACATCGAAATTCAAACATATCTATGTGCATCATATTAAAAGAATAATTGCTATATCCCATATCAAAAGATTCAAAACGGTACCTGTGGTTGGGATCAGAAATGGGGTTCCACTAGTAGTCTTGAAAATCTTCTTGACATCCTCAAGGAGGGTTCTGGTCATTGCTGGTATGGCTGGAGAGCGATAATCCTCATTGTTTCGGTTCATTGCACGAAGGACCTGTTCCGGGATGTTGACAGGCCCTGGAACAAAGAGATGGTTCCTTCCAGGTCCATTAACGTAGTCCATCTTTCCCTCCTGAAATTACAGGGTTGAAGTGAAATTTGAAGAACTGTGTGTCAAAAAACCTCAGCTAGAAATACCCATAAAAGATATCAATCGTAGTTTCAAATTGAACTGTGATTTCACTCTCTAGCCTCTCAACCCAATTAGATATACTTTATTATATCATTTTTCACTTTTTTGAAGTATTAAGGTTCTCAATTATGAAGCTGAGAAACTTAAAACCTTGTACTAGCCTAGTGGAAGTAGATTTTCAATTAAAAATTTGGATGGGCAAAAATTACTGTAAAATGCAATTTAGCAACTTTTAAGACATAGGGTTCACTACTAAAGATTTTAGTTATTGTTTGGTCAAATCCTATAACTTAATAAGCGTGAAAACATGGTTTTAGTTTTAAAAGCAATCAGTTTATGCAAAATTATACCAAAAGTTAGGTCAGTCTCTAGTCTTTTTCTCTCATAATCTTGCGCTGACCAGATATACAAATATACTACACTTATTTAATCAAAAAGAACAAATTATCGGTGGAAGAAGCAAAACAACAATTAAATAAATAAAAAAACATTAATTCATGGGAATTATGAGCAAAGTTTCTGCTAAATTTAGGAAGAATATGTCGTATACACATGCAAAAATGTGTGTATATAAATATATAATATATACACATATACATAAAATTAAATACCGATATATAAAATATATACAGAATTCAGGTGATTAAGAATAACAGATTACCTTCTGAAATGTCTCTCTTTCTCTCTCTAAATCTGGCGTAAACTTTGACGCCCCCTAACTTTGGCAGAGGGAAAGTGGAGGGTGATAAAAAGGGCCAAAGGAATCTGCGAGTTTATATGAGCGCGGGAGACCAATAGCATGTGGGTCCCACATATGTCCAACGTGGCAGATAAGGGTCTGCATATGTCAAATCTTGCGGCTAAGGACGAGCACAAGAAATTTAGTGGTAGTAGTATGATATTTGGTTTTGTGCAACCAAAACAGGAAAAATGACTACTATTTGCACCAACACCCTTAATATCTCTGCATATTTGGATATGATACCCATTTCTTTTGATATACACCCATCCCACTGTTTTTGTTATTTTTATTTTTTATTTTTTCTTAGTTGGAACTCACATACACTGTCTCCACTAAGGTTCGAACCCCTGACCTCCCTTTAGAAAGTAGGAGCCTTATACCGTCAGGCCACAGGCCTGTTGATACTGTTTTTGGTCTTTTAAAGCAATGAGGGACTTGGAATGCCTGACATTGATTAACGTGGGAAGGAAAAGGCATTGGGTAACGTGGGAGAATTGGGGTGGGGGAAGAAAAGAGATTTGGGGTGGCAATATTTAACACGACACGCTAACACGACACGAACACGATACGAAATAAGCGGGTTAGGGTTTGGGTTAATCGTGTTCGTGTCAACACGGATTGACCCGCTAACTAAACGTGTCGTGTTCGTATTTAACCCTTTAAACACGATTATGACACGATTAACCCGATTAACTAAACGTGTCAGATAAACGTGTCGTGTTCGTGTCAAAAATGACCCATTTAGCAAAATATGTTATATTCGTGTCGAAAATGACTTAAATATGTCTTTTCGTATTGTGTCAAATCTTAACCCATTTATTAAACAGGTTATGCGTGTCGTGTCGTGTCGTGTTCGTGTCAAGGGTCTTAGACACGATTAATAATCGTGTCGTGTTCGTGTCAACCTTAATCGTGTCCGTGTCGTAATCGTGTCGACACAAACACGACACGCCAACACGAATTGCTACCCCTAAAAGAGATCTACATCCTTTGATAGGAAAAATATATAAAAAATTTTAAAAAAATAAATGTCAAGCCTAACGATAATTTATTGATATTTCCTCTATCGCCAGAGTGAAATGTGAGAGTTTCGGTCTTAATAAAAAAAACAAAACGTACAAAGCCCAAATTTTTTTTCCCTAAAATTGGTTAGGGAGAAATGAAACTTTAATTATTCCCCCTCCTTTGACTCGGTTACCAAAAGTTTTCTTCAATTAGAATTATTTCTTAAAATCATAAGTGGATTTTTATATACTCGAGCCAACCCCTTAGGTTTAACAATCATTTGACTTTGTTAGAAGATTACCTAGAATCATTTAAAATATATTGAACCCATGTTTAAAATTCAATTGATTGAATTGCCTATCATACCCTTGGTGCACTGAGTGAAATTTCATTAATTTTCTAGTTAACCACGAGTATAACCAAAATAATTATTATAACAACAGAGAATAAAATGAGACAAACGCGAGACATTTGCAGTTGCATATCTAAGTCTTCAAATGAGCACAGTTTGTTGGCAAATTTGATCAATGTATACAATATATATAGAGAGAGAGAGAGAAAGAGAGAGAGAGAGAGAGAGAGAGAGAGTTGATCAGGGAGAGAATGTAGTAAGGCTGCTACAGCTCCCAGGTGGCTATACATGTAAAAAGGAGATAAATGAAGCAAATTTGATCAATGTGTAGCATAGTTAAAAATATTGAAAATGAAGGAAATACTATGAAATATGACAAAGTATACCAATTCAAAAGGAATATTAAAAAAGAAATGAAACTAAATTGACTAGCATGAGGTTGAGAAAGAATATGTGAAAGATAAAGTGATAATGGAGTATATCAGCCACACCATCTTCTGTGGAAGCCAAAGCCACACAACACAGCATTACTCATTTTTGTTCCCATTCTACTCCCTTTGGTTTCTTCTATTTTGTTTCTATTTTCTATTTGATGTATACCAACTTTTTAAGTATATATTGGTATATGAATTTCTATTCTGTCAATTTCTTTTATATTATAAGTATATTAATTTTTTCATTAAACTCTAATCATTGTCATGTCACCATAATTTAGTATTACTTTCCCTAAATTTTAAAGTGTGACGTTAGAGCTCAACTCTAATAAAGATAAATGTGTGTATAAATTGCAAAGGGAAATAAAAAAAAATAAAAAATAAAAAATAAAAAAAAAGCACATATGCTCATCTTATTTCAGATGTACGAGTGCAACAGTAAATGATTAATCTAAATGAAATATAGAAGCACCAAAGCAAATTAGCATGGAAAAATACTACTAATATGAAATAAGTTTCGAGATACTGCTATGACCTATATTAAATGTTTTTTTTGGGGAGTAAAAATTTTAAAGATTTTTGTATTTGAAATTACTAAGTTATTTTTTCAAATTTAGTACATATATATAATCAAGTTTTGTTTATTTATTTATTTGCATCAGGTTTCACACACATTACTTCAGGCTCGTTTTCTTTGAGAGTACCAAAATTATAACTTTGAGCTAATGGTCCATTGATAATTTTGAGATAGTTAAAAGTAGAGAAAATTACATAAAATAGAGCAGTATGTATTAAAATGGGCATCGTGAATATAAATTTACAGGTCATTTGCCTGCTGCAGTGTTTAGAAAACCTATAGGATCAAGTTTCAAATTTGCGGGTAAGAGCTACTTCGTACAAAAAATATCAATTGATAGGCATGTAGCTTTCTACCCTTATATCTCTTCCAACATAAGGAAGACAACCACCACCGCGTCCACCGGACTGAGTCTCTCACAATCCTCGGTCAACAGAGGGCTAGGTTTTCGTCACAGGAAATATGAACTAATACCCACCATTGACGGCTAATTAAGCCGATAATTGCAGTTATTACTTATTAGTTATGTTGTTTGGTCTAGGCTAGCCCCTTGGTCCTCCCTAAATTGGGCTTAAGTCTTTTTTGGGCTTGTTTTTTCCCACTCATATGGACTGTTTTGGCCTAAGGTCCTTCGTGTAATTATTACTTCTTATATATATATATATATATATATATATATATATATATATATATCAGTTGCTTAATATTTTGAAAAAAAAAAAAAAAAAGCCAAGGGAGAGAAAGGTTAGTGTTTGTTTGGCATGCGCTAAAACATGTTTTAGGTATTTTGTTTTTGGCTAAAACAGAAACAGTATTTTTGCTACAAGAGTGTTTTGGAAAAAAAATCGGAAGCACGTTTGAGAACGATATTTTGCTGTGGAATGTTTGGGCCCATGTTGCGCTACTGTTATGGTTTTGAGCTATAAACAGTTGTCAAAATAAGAAAAAATAATTTTTTAGGGTGTGTTTAGTAACTCAAAACATTCTTTGTTTTCTGTTATCAATTCTTAAAAAGGAGAAATAAACACAAAAATCATGTTTAGTAATTTGTTTTTATTTCTTCTTAATGAAAAACATTTCTCATTTTTATGAAAGAAAGAGAAAACATCAAAATGATGTTTCCTATGTTTTTTCACTATAGCAAAGGAAACGTTTTCACCACTGTTTCCTTCGTTTTTTATGTAACAACTGATATTACTCTTACATTAATACACAACCACTGACATTACTCCATTAGTACTTTCTTCTTCTCTTTACTCTTCCATTAATCACTTTACTCTTCTATTAGTACTTCTTTATTCTTCTCTCTTCATCACATGGCTCACGTCTCTCTTTCTCTCTTCTGAGAAAGGTACGTCCTCATATCTCATTCTCTCTCCTCTATTCAATAGATCTGAGACTTGAATGGTATCCTGCCCATAATTTTTTTTTTTTTTTTTTTTTTTTCCGTTTTTTGATTGTTGTACATGTATGGGTTGTGGATTTAATAATTTTTTGTTTCGGATTAGGAGGAGAATCAGTCTTGCTAGTATCTTGCCCTGTAATTTTTTTTTTTTTTTTTTTTTTTTTTGATTGTTATACATGTATGGGTTATTGTTTGTTTTCAGATTTTTTGTTAATATATAATGTATATATAAAATCTATTTTTATATTCTATATTTATATATTATACAACTGTACGCCCAGTATTTTATTTTATTATATTTTTTTCCTTTTTCTGATTGTTATACATGTATTGGTTGTGGTTTATTTTCAGATTTTTTTTGTTTATATATATATATAATACAATTATATGTTTATCTTGCCCTCTCTATATATATATTTTTTTCCTTTTTAGATTATATCTTTTATTGTGATTGAAAATTAGATTTTGATAGATTAATGAAAAAATAAATTAAAAAAAATTTCCAAAAAAAAAAAAAAAAATTGTAACAAATGTTTTACTAAACACTACTTTTTGCTTTTTGTTATTAAAATTGTGACAACAGCAAATGTTACGAAACGTTATTTTTGCTTTCTGTTTTTACTTTGAAAAACAAAATTATATTTCTGTTTCTTTGCGACTGCAAAAACAGAAAATGAAAACGTTTCTAAACGCACCCTTAGTGTTTTGTTTTGGACCGCTTTTTACGAAATGTTTTAGCACTGTGTAAAATAAAGCAAAGCCGCACCAAACATGCTTTTGTTGACAAAATTGACATTGTAGCAGCCCAAAAACAAAAACAGTATAAACAAAATGCATGTTAAACAAGGCCTAAAGCTATAAATAAAAATATTTTCAATTATAAACATAAATTACAGAAATAATACTTTGGAATTTTCAGTACTAGGCCATGATGGATCCCTAGCACCCCAATTTGAATCCCCGATTGATAGGTTTGTATCTTGTTAAATCGTTCCGACTTGCTCTCAAGCACAACATACAAGAAGATAAAAAGATTTTAACACTTTCAATTAAGGGTGGCAATTTATACCCAAATCCATTAAACTGTCCAAACTCGTCCACTAAAATTAAATCATTTGGGTAATCAATTTAAATGAATGGGTAAAAAATGGATACTTAGTATATTCATGGATTAAAAAATGAGTGAATTGTAGATACTATGTAAACTCTAATTAATTTGTGTTAGACATTAATCACAAATAATCATAAATCCCTAGATTTTAGAATTTCAATTAATTTCATATCCTTATAATGCATAAATAT